CTGAAGGGGCCCCTAGGCATGGGGGCCCCTTCAGGGGGGCCCCTGTTCGGGGGGGGGACCCCAGGAAGAAGGGGGCCCCTGGGCTGGGGGGGCCCCCCAAGAAGGGGGGCCCCCATAGCAGGGGGGCCCCCGCAAATCAATAGAAAAAAAGGCTGATGGGCAGCAGCAGCAGATGCTGCAGCAAACGCATACCCATTAGTACCCTTAAAATTCACCCCCGGGGGCCCCAAGGGGCCCCCGGGGGGCCCCCAGTACCCTTTCAGATGGCCGCAGATTCGCAGGGGGCCCCCCGAGGGGCCCCTCTGCCACAGGCCTCAGCAGAGGCCTCCGGGGGGCCCCCTTTAGCTCATATCGCTGAAGTGTACCCTTTTAGGGGGCCTCGAGGGGCCCCCAGAAGACCCTCCTCCTGCCTTTTGGGAGCCCCACGGGAAGCTTAGGGGGCCCTAGGGGGCCCCCTTAGAGGGCCATAGGGGGCCCCCTTATAGGGCCCTGGGGGGCCCCCTTAGGGGGCCTCTAGGGTCCATCTTTAGAAACCCTGGGGGTCCCCTTAAGGGCCCCCAGAGAAACGCCCTGAGGTGCCCCTCTGGGGCCATCCTTTGAAAGGCCCCTGTGGGGCCCCTTTTGACGGGCCCCCAAAGGGCCCGCTTTAGGGGGGCCCTCAAGTGGGCCCCCTCTAGGGGGCCCTCCAAGGGGGCCCCCTTTTAGTGGGCCCCTCGGAGGGGCCCCCCTTTAGGGGCCCCTTCATTGACGTTCGCATGCGCTGGCTCCTCTTGGGCTGGCCATGCTCCAAAGAAAAGGGTATATATTTCTTCCCAGCTGTCGGTCTGGAATATTGTCTTCTCTGCTGCTGCTGCTGCTGCTGCTGCTGCTGGCGCTGCTGCTGCTGCTGTCGGATAAGCCTCCTTCTTGCCGTCCCATAGGTAGCTACAGCTCTGCAGAGCAGCAGCCTTGGGGGCCCCCAGGGGGGCCCCCTGGGGGGCCCCCAGGGGGGCCCCCTGCTGTGCATGCAGGCAGTCCAGGAGGTGCCTCAGGGGGGAGACTTTGAGAGAACAGATTTGGAAAGTCTGAAGAGCAGCAGCAGCAAAATGTCATTTAGAATAAAATTCAATTTATTATTCTTTTGAAGATTTAATTTATATTTTAATTTGAAATTAAAATATAAATTTACCTTCAAAGAAGACACAGAGCCAATCAGGATTGCTATGTCTGCATGCAGCAGCGCAGCAATGTCGCCGTCGCTGCACAAACGCCCGCAGCAGCAGCAGCAGCAGCATCAGCAGCAAGACTCGCAGGAGCATCAGCAGCAGCAGCAGCACAGCCAGCAGCACGATCAGCCTCGCCAGCGGCAACAGAAACGAGGGCAGCAACAGCGAAAACGGAAACAGCAGCTGCAGCAGCAAGAACAGCAGCAAGAGCAGCAGCAGCAGCAGCACCAGCAACAGCAGCAGCAGCAGAACGGGATTTACGAGTCCCCTATAAAAACTGTGAGACCCCGAGGGGCAGCCGGCGTGCCAGAGAGATTGCTTCCGAAACCATTCTCAGCTGCAGCAGCAGCAACAACAGCATCATGCTGCTGCTGCTGCTGCTGTTGCTGCTGCTGCTGCTTCCTGATTTCTGTTGCCCACTGCTGCCTCTTTTCAAGGGCCCGGCGTTTGTCCGAAAAGCCAACAACACTCCGAACCAACTCGCCTGCCCACAGCAACAAACCCCCAACCCCAAACCCTAAACCCTAAACCCTAAACCCTAAACCCTAAACCCTAAACCCTAGAGC